GGCGGAGGTTGGAGGACTGCTTGAGCCCAGAAGTTCGAGACTAGTCCAGGCAACATGGTGAGAACCTGTCTCTACAAAAAAAAAAAAACATAAAAAGAATAAAAATAAAAATAATTAGCCTGGAATGGTGGCATGAACCTGTAGTCGCAGCTACTCAGGAGGTTAAGGCTGGAGGATCGCTTGAGACCAGGAGCTCGAGGCTGCAGTGAGCTGTGATGGCATCACTGCACTCTGGCCTGCATAACGGAGCAAGATCCCATCTCAAGGAAAAAACAAAAAAACAGAAAAAAGCCCGCCTATGATCTGGTGTCTTATCCCCGGAAGAGCTGAGGAGACGTACATGTGAATAATTCTGTCTAATGCATTGCCATCATCCATGCTCTTCTCAGTGTTACAGGACAGGGGTCCCGACCCAGACCCCAAGAGAGTGTTCTCGGATCTCAAAAGAGAATTCAGGGCTAGTCCGCAGTGCAAAGTGAAAGCAAGTTTATTGAGAAAGTAAAGGAATAAGAGAATGGCTACTCCACAGACAGAGCAGCCCCGAGGGCTGCTGGCTGCCCATTTTTACGGTTATTTCTTGATGACATGTAAACAAGGGTTGGATTATTCATGTCCCCCCTTTTTTGGACCTTATAGGGTAACTTCCTGATGTTGCCATGGCATTTGTAAACTGTCACGGTGCCGATGGGAGTGTAGCAGTGAGGATGACCAGAGGTCACTCTCGTGGCCATCCTGGTTTTGGTAGGATTTAGCCACCTTCTTTACCGCAACCTGTTTTATGAGCAAGGTCTTTATGATCTGTATTTTGTGCTGACTCCTATCTCATCCTGTGACTTAGAATGCCATCAGCATCTGGAAATGCAGCCCCGTAGGTTTCAGCCTCATTTTACCCAGGCCGTATTCAAGGTGGACTTGCTTTGGTCCACATGCCTCTGACATCAGATCAAATGTTGCTTGTTATCATCACTCTTACTCTTTTCATCTCAAATCTGAAGAGTCAGAACAAATTTCCTTCTACCCTTTGGTTTGCTCCCTCCCCTGGCTCCCAGCAGCAGGGAGCTGCTGACAATTCAGGTTTGTGGTTGAATTCCATGGGGACTGGAGCTCAGGATCAGAGGCAAGCCCTTTTTCACTCATGTCGTGGAGTCCCAGCGTGAAGCTGCTCTGTGATCACCCTGGAACTCAACATGTCAGAGCTGCCGCAGGGTGACGGGTGACGGTAGAGGCTACTTGGTAGCTGAGAACAAGGGAGACACCCTGAGAGATGCTCAGAAACAATCCAAGGTTCAGAAGCACGGCCTGAGCCCCAGAAATGTGAGCCGAGTGGAAGGAGCAAGGCATGGCCCCAGTGTGTTCATACCAGAGCGTATTAATACAAAGGCAAGGAATTCCTGTCCCAGTGTATCAATACCTATGGGCTGGGCAACCTGGGAGACCTGAGCTTGCATTCAGAGGTATCACAGAAGAGCTACCTGGGGCCTGTGCTGCAGCTCCCTCCCCCACGATGGTGTCTGGTGACAGCGTTTTGCAGTGGGCCATCTCCTCCCTCCATTCCTGATGGTCAGAAAAGGCAGGAGAGCCTGAGAGGACATCACCTCTGTCATCAAGCGGGAACTTCCAATGGGATTCCTCATTGTTTTCTCAAAAGACACAAATTCCACAGCATTTGCATATCCTGTTTACAGGGACCCACTTGCATGGTGCTGACGGCCTATTCTCCATCCAGATAGCTGAGGATCGTATTCTGTATTTCAAAATGACGCCAAGCATGCTCTTCAAATGCCCCACGAATGATGTCAGTTGTCATTAATGTACCGTTAATCCTATCTAAAGAGGAATAAAAAGTTGAGCAAAGTGCCAAAAAAGAAAAAAAAAACCAGTAGGATTCTTGATTACTAGTCACAAAACCCAACTTTTTATTGAAGTATAGCATATACATAGAAAAGTGCACAAATCCAAGAATGTTCACAAATGGAACGCACCCAGGGAACAGGCAACCGGGTCAAGAAACAACACCCCAGAAGCCCCCTCAGGCCCCCTCTGGTGACTATCCTCTCAGGATACTGATCTCTACCTGCAACCGCATGGATGAGTTTTGCTGGGTTTTGTACTTTGTATATGGAATCCGATGGTGCATTTTTGCCTTACCTTGTACATACTAGGCTGGTGAATACACATCAAATTGTGGGTGGAGCTGCAGCTCATTCTCATTGCAGTCTAGGATTCCATCGTGTGAAAATACCCTAAGTTGCTTATCCAGCCAACACGGGTATTTGGGTGCTTTCCCATTTTGGGTTATTGTGAAGAGTGCTTCTGTGAACATTTAGAGTGCTTTTCTGGATGAATACGTGTACACGTTTCTGTTGGGTATACACCTAGGGGTGGAATTGTTAGGTCATATATATTTACATCCAACTCAGCCTATTTCATAAAAGAATAAGGAATGTCCTGGATGGAGCTTGCTGGCTCAAGGAATTGACAGAAAACTAGAAGGGAGATCTGTAGGAAGATAGGTGGAGGCGGAGACAGCTCAGTGAGTCCAAGGAGCGGAGGCGTTCCCAGGACCTTGCCATCCCTGGACAATGCCGCCAGCGGACACACCATCCCTGCAGCCTGCCGGCCCTAGACTCCCGCCTTACTGGGTGACTACCAACCTCAGACCACAGTGGCTTCCTGGAAATGAGTCTCATCCCTTCATTTCTGTGTCACATTCTCCAGGCTCACAGCCCCAAGTAGGGGTCCAGGTAGCCCACCCCAGGTCACTGACCACTTCCCCACTGGTATGGGGCTGGAAGCGGGGTGTGCCTGAGACAGGGAATACCTCCCTTCTTCAGCTTCCACAGTGGGTACTGCACGCCACTCAGTTTACATCTAAGGCATGACGTCCCTGCTATAGGAAGTCAAGCTGAAAACACAGAAATGACAGGTGTCCGCACAGCTGCACTCCCCAATGCAAGCAGGCTTTATTCCATTCCTCTTCCACCGACTGTCAGAGCAGGGGAGGTCAGTCACATGTCTGTGGCTCTCACAGCTCATGCGTAGAAACCTGCATCTAAGGAGAGGGAGCTAGGCTGGGCACGGTGGCTCACGCCTGTAATCCCAGCACTTTGGGAGGCAGAGGTGGGAAGATCATTTGAGGTCAGGGGTTCAAGACCAGCATGGCCAGCATGGCGAAACTGCATCTCTACTAAAAACACAAAAATTAGCCAAGCCTGGTGGTGGGCACCTGTAATCCCAGCTCCTCGGGAGGCTGAGGCAGGAGAAATCGCTTGAACCTAGGAAGTGGAGGTTGCAGTGAGCTGAGATCGTGCCACCGCACTCCAGCCTGGGCAACAGAGCAAGACTCCGTCTCAAAAACAAAAAAAAAAGAAGAGGGAGCTGGGTTCAGGATCACTCTAGGAAGGGTGACCCACCCCAAATGCCATAGGTTTGGAAGAAAGAGGTGCCGTAAAAGGGCAGAAAAGCGTCTCCTAGGGAAGGTAAGGAAGAGAGGAGGAAAAGGAAAAGCGAGGCTGAATCTGGAGGGACGGGACGCTTAAAAACGACGGGGAGAAGGTTTGGTGGAAGAGGAAAGCAGTGTGTTTTTCTTGACCTGACTGTGGTGTGCTCTGTGCTGCCCCACTTTCTGGGCTTCTCTGATGTGCCTTTCCGACTTGGGCTTTGCTTCATCGGGTTAATGATGTTGACATGAACCACGGAATAAAAAGATCCTGCTCATAAACTGCACTGTCAAAGGATCTGAGGTCTCAGCGTCACGTCCACATCATACAATTCTGCTCTAGTCTGAGCACACGGCATCCTCACAGCACTGGTATTACCAGTGAGCTGAAAATGAAACTAAGAATGGGTTTTAACAAAAGAAGCAAGGAATAAAAATGCCCTAAATCCATTTACGAGGGCAGCAAGTCATTAATTGATCTGGAAATTATATTTGCCTCTTTGCAGGCAATTTTATATTATTTATCCAATGGAACCATGCTCTCTTTGAAGTTATACATTCTTCCCTATATTATACCATGGTGTTTAGTACATTTATTTGTTTTAAATGATAATCAGAGCTTTCATCTATGTAGCATCTCTCTTTTTCCTCCCAGACAGAAAGGCAGGATAATTACCATTATCTCCAATTTGCAGGTTGGAACATTTCAGACACACAATGGCCTGCCCTATATCACACAGCAAGTCTCTGTCAGAACTAGGGAGAGAGGCAGTTTCCAAATAAACAGAATAGAACAAACTTAGACAAAGAGTTCTCTGCTCCCACGGTGTATCCTCTTCTTTCATCAGGGGTCGTATGAGTTTGGTTTAGACAGGGCCTTCAGGTTGATCTCAGACAATCCAAGAGCTAATTCACTGATGTCTAGCCTTTCCCTGGGGCCTCCATGAATCACCTTCCTTAAACTGCAGAATACGGCTTCCTTCTGGTGAACATGGGAAGCAAAGTGTACCATGGGTTGGTGCAACAAAGATGTGGACCGGGGGTTGGTGCAACAAAGGTATTTGCTTTACCGTGTGCAGTTAAGATTGTTTGTGGGTTTCCCTACCTGCAAACAGGTAGACCTGGAAGGTAGCACAGTTCAGGGGGCTAAGGGAGCTCTGCAGCCAGACTGCCTGCCCTCAAATCCCAGTTCTCATGCTTACAATCTGTAACCTCGGGCAAACTACATAAATGCTTTGTGCCTCAGTTTCCCCTCACTCTAAACCCAGTATACGGCCAGGTGTGGTGGCTCACGCCTGTAATCCCAACACTTTGGGAGGCTGAGGTGGGCAGATCACTTGAGGCCAGGAGTTCGAGACTAGCCTGGCCAACGTGGAGAAACTCCGTCTCTACTAAAAATATAAAAATGAGCCAGGCATGTTGGCACATGCTTGTCATCCCAGTTACTAGGGAGGCTGAGACGTGAGAATCACTTGAACCTGGGAGGTGGAGGTTGCTGTGAGTTGAGATTGTGCCTGGGTGAGAGAGCAAGACTCTATCTCAATAAGATGAATAAGTAAAATAAAATAGACATACTCTTATGGTATTTATTGTTGGAAGATTAAATACCTTAATGCACAGCAATGCTCAGATGACTGGGGAGCCCACAGAGGGCTGCTGTCACCATGACTTGTTCCCGCAGGGGAGGGGCTGCTGTAGTAAAACCCCAACAGGCCCAGTGCTGTGTCCAGAACCGGTACTTTTATTAATGCAGCCCATGCTGGAACTACTGAGTAGGAGCCAAAAGAGAAGGGAGCAGGGAGAGGTGGCATTTGGAGAGGGGAGGCTGCGCGCACAGGTCTGCTCCGATGCGTCAGCGGCCTGGTGCACTTTCACAGTCAAATTGGCTTTGCTGTCCGCCCACGGTCCACCTTTGCAGAAGGACCACTCCACACCCGATGGGAAACAAGGGACATTCACCGGGCTCTGGGCACCACGGCCCTGGGAGGACACGCTAAGAAAACCTTTCCAGGCTGGGCACAGTGGCTTACACCTGTGATCCCAGCTATGTGGGAGGCTGAGGCAGGAGAATCGCTTGAACCCAGGAGGCAGAGGTTGCAGTGAGCTGACACTGCGCCTGCGCCATTGCACTCCAGCCTGGGCAACAAGAGTAAAATTCTGTCTCAAAAAAAAAAAAAAAAAAAAGAGAGAGAGAAAAAAGAAAGAAAGGGAAAGAAAAGAAAAGAAAACCAGTCCAATCCTGTGAGTTGTTGTCTTTTTACTAGGAGGATGGAAAACAGAATTGAGAACTTCCGCAGCTGCTTTCTCCAGGAAAGGAGATAAAAACTTTATATATTTCAGTTGGTCAAAATGCTCTAATTTGATACTGAATATTGTAAATGAGGGATATTTAGGCATAGTTTTTTTTAAAAAAGTAAGTTATCCACTGAAGTGTATTAATGTGATATAAACTTGGGAATTGATGTTTAAAAATTTTAAACTCTTAAGTCCAGGCTTATTTTTACATGGCACATTTGTTATTTGGCTATAAAAGTGTTAATTTTCTTTCCCAAAAATGAAAATAACATGAAAATGTTAAAAAAAAAAAAAGAAAGAAATTGAATGCCATGAAGAAAACAGATGTAAACATAAGACAGGCCCCGGCCACCCTCGGCTGGGCAGGGATGGGTGTGGGTCTCGCTCCCTAAGGTTTAGAGCATGCATGGTCTCTACAGGGGACTTTGACGGTCAGAAAAGGAGGCATTTTCATCACCAACAGGGTTAGAGAATGGTACAAAAGAACTTCTTCTCGCGAAAGGGGTTTTCTGATGCAGGCACTGGGATGATGAGAGGGTCTTCACGCACGTGAGCTTCACAGTATGCCAGGAGGTCGGCAGCTGCTTGGGAGACCTGTGAGGACACAGAGCATAGGCGCTGGGTTAAAGGTCCCTTCCCAGAGTGGGTCCAGGGAAGAGGTGTCCACGTAGAGAGGGGCAAGCCCTGGGACAGGCTGTATTGTGTGCATAGCCTACGACAAGGTCATGCCCAGGTTGGAGGGAGGGTTTATGCGTTCGAAGGGTGCCTCCAAGCAAGGGAGGCTGCCCTCGTATGGCAGGTCAGCATGGAGACAGGACTGAGGGCCGGCAGGAAGGCCCAGACAGCCTTGCTGCACTCTCCAGTAGGTGGGGAGTGGACGCTCAGCACAGGAGTCTCACGATGACTTTGCTAAACCATTTCCGGAAGAAAAAGGCAGAAGGCAGCCCCTGGCCAAGCCAGGGTGATCATATTTATTATTATTTGTGAGAAACAAAAAAGTTCCTCTTTAAAGTTTCCTTTCTTGTTAAAGAATAAATCATAAGTGTGCTAATAACTCGTTAAGTCCTATCCTATGTAGCTGTTACACATACCATGCTTACAGGCACATAGTATATTCTATGTCTTTGTATGTTAACCAAGAAATCTGTGCTGGACATGTTCTCCATTGCTTTCACCTGTTTAGAAAAGTTTTAAGTTGTTAGCCAATTGGGTTTTAGTTTAGATTGTGAGGTCTGGTTCCAATCAACGGAGATCAGACACAGCAGTAAGGACAACCCCAAATGCATAAGGAATAAATACATCTGCTTTCCTTTGTTCACTGTACTCTCCTGGCAAGATGGCTAGTGAGGGTCCCCTTCCTGCAGTCCAGGAAGTAAAAACTGCGTTGCCCAAATATGCTTTGTCTCAGCATCTGTTTCCAACATTACTGTTGCTTTATTGCAATCCACTCTTGTGACCCACACAGAGAGACACTTCATCCTCTTCAACAGGACTCATATTTAGCTATGTTTTAGAAGCACACACGTTTTATTTTTATTTATTTATTTACTGAGGCAGAGTCTTGCTCTGTTTCCCAGGCTGCAGTGGAGCGGTGCGATCTCTGCTCACTGCAACCTCCATCTTCTGGGTTCAGGTGATTCTCTTGCTTCAGCCTCCTGAGTAGCTGGGATTATAGGTACCCACCATGCCCAGCTAAGTTTTCTATTTTTAGTGGAGATGGGGTTTCACCATGTTGACCAGTCTGGTCTCAAACTCCTGACCTCAGTTGATCTGCCCGCCTCAGCCTCCCAAAGTGCTGGGATTACAGGCGTGAGCCACTGTGCCCAGCCAGCACACAAGTTTTAACTTGGGGTGGCTACTCCCCTGCTGAGAGAGGTGCTCCTGACCAGAAAGTTCTTTCCCCTCCATTTCTTTCCAGGTTTATCTGAAGCCTGCGGGCACATGGCAGTTGTGCATCAAACTGTCCCCAAGCTCAAGCCCAGAGGAAGAGAGGGGTGGGAGAGGGCAGCATGCGGAAGAACATTTGCTAAGAGGGAGAGGAAGTTCCCAGCTTATTTTTTTCATGGTCTGTGTCACGTGCTTGGCAAATACAGGACCTGTGCCTTAACTCATCCTGCCAATTAGGCCGTTCTGCCTGCAAGTGTTTAATAGAGGGTTACAGGCAGGGGTAAATACATAGCAGTCAAATAAAATCCTTCTAGTATACTCAATGTCTAAATCTTCTTCAGAATGATAAAAAAATGTTACATAGATGAAGAAAAAAATGTTTAGAAGCCTCCAGCTGCACAGGCCATACACATTCCCTTCTGAGTTTTAAAAATGGGCTCATCTTTCAACATTTTACAACATTTTCTGATTTTCAGCCCAGACTTTAGCAATGACTACAAATAATTCTAGCAGAGATATACAATAAGTCAATTAAACACATCACTCACAGAAACCAACTTGAAGTTGAGCCGATGAGTCAGTCTAGACACTGAGAAAGCCTATATGTGTTAGGAGCATGGCATGCAGGAATGAATTCCCGTGAACATCAGCCTTCTAGTTCTACCCCTGCCCCTGAGCTAGCTGTGTGACCTTGGGTAAGTAGCTCAACCTTTCTGAGCTTCATGTCCCTCATTTGTAAAATTCAGGAGCGTTAGAGAGCTCTAAGGTGTCATTTACTCTAAAAAGTCTATGATTCTACCTTTAATAGAATCATGGTTGGTATTTAAGATCCTAAAAGTATGTATGTTGAGTTGAATGGGAGTGTTTGAAGTTTGCAGTGTTTTACAGAATGCCCATATAGGAATTGGGTGAGGCCTAGGGGAAAACTGAGCCTGTGTGGGGCCTGTGAACCATCATGAGGAGCCAGAGCACAAGTTTAGGGAAACAGACTCTGAGGCCCAGAGGACTGCGATGGACACACAAGTGAATGGAATCACATGGTGAGTGCTGCAGCTCAGGGCCATCAGGCCCAGGAGATTGAGCCCTCCCTTGCTGCCAATCTAAGGAAAGCTGAGCCCCTCTCCAACTGCCGGAGTCATGACCTCCTTAGTTTCCACTCTGGCTTCTCATCATGCCCAGAGATACAGAAACTGCTGGGGTCTGGGTCCTCACGGCCACCATGTTAGGACAGCCACTAAATTCATCCAGTGGCCCTCTCTGGCAACCCCTGGGCAGTGGTCTTCACTGCTGACCAGGCAATATACACAAGGGCTGCAATGATGGAGCAACCACCTTCCTCTTCTAGGAGCCACTGTCCTCTTGGGTTTGGTAGGACTGGGCCCTGATTCCAGAGAGCCCTTCCAGGAGCTCCATTTAAGAATGGCTTGCCCAGGTGCAGTGGCTCATGCCTGTAATCCCAGCACTTTGGGAGGCCAAGGTGGGTGGACTGCCTGAGGTTAGGAGTTCAAGATCAGTCTGGCCAACACACTGAAACATTGCCTTTACTAAAAATACAAAAAATTAGCCAGGCGTGGTGGCGGGTGCCTGTAATCCCAGCCACTTAGGATGCTGAAGCAGGAGAATCACTCAAACCTGGGATTTCAAGAAGTGAGCTGAGATTGTGCCACTGTACTCCAGCCTGGGCAACAAGAGTGAAACTCCATTAAAAAAAAAAAAAAAAAAAAAGAATGTCTCATCTGACTATCCTGTCCTCTTCAGTTTTCTAGTTTTCACTTTTCTCAGCTACTTCATTGTTTTCGGACATGCTCCAGTTTCATCTGAATTCTCTATAAGCCTCGTTATCTCATTCAGGAAGGAAGTATTCACTATCTACCCTTTAGCTAATTCAGAAGATGCAAGAGAAAGAACAAGGCACGAGTTTTGCTCTCTAGAAGATCTCATTGTGATCTCAAACATGATGAAGTCATTATAATAATCCATGTGTGCTGAAATGTCACAAAAGCACACTCGCACGCCACTGTGGGTCTATGATGAGAGGCAAGGAAACAGGGGCATCTGACAACCTGTCCACTCCCACAGTCGTGGACACCTTGGTGAATCTGCCCTCTTTCTCCAGAGGGCAATCACTGGACTTCTGGGCCCATAAACACGATTCCTGGCACATTCAGAATAGGTCATCTCATGTGGCCAACCCATATTAAACAAGCTCAGGAGGCAGCTGGATAAACCGTAATACAAATAGTAGCTAACATTTGCATTTACTGAGTGCTTCTCAGGTGCCAGTATAACTGAATGCATCAGGTATACTATTTCATTTAATTCTTCTATAAGTATGATTCTAGCCTGGGCAACATAGTAAGACTCTACCACAAAATGAAAAATTAGCCAGGCATACTGGTGCATACCTGTGGTCCCAGCTACTCAGGATGCTGAGGCAGGCACATGGCCTTGAGTCTGGGAGTTCAAGGCTACAGTTAGCTGTGATTGCACCACTGCACTCCAGCCTGGGTGGCAGAGCAAGACCCTGTCTCTCTAAAAATAAAGTACAATTCCTATTTATTTATAATTGACAAATAAAAATGGAATATATTTATGGTGTACAATGTGATGTTTTGATATATGTATACATTATAGAATGGCTAAATCAAGCTAACTGACACATCCATTACCTCACATACTTTTTTTTGTGGTAAAAACATGTAAAATTTACTTTTAGCAATTTCCTTTTTTTGAAAATGGAGTCTCACTTTGACTTCAGGCTGGAGTGCAGTGGGGCGATCTCAGCTCACTGCAACCTCTGCCTCGTGGGCGCAAGCAGTTTTCCTCCCTCAGCCTCCGGGGTAGCCGGGATCACAGGCTCTTGCCACCATGTCTGGCTAATTTTTTAATTTTTGATACAGATGGAGTTTCACCATGTTGGCCAGGCTGGTCTTGAACTCCTGACCTCAGTTTCCTCATCTGTAAAGTGTCTTTAAGAATAGTACTTATGATGTATACTTGAAAATTGCTTGCCGGACACAGTAGCTCATGCCTGTAATCCCAGCACTTTGGGAAGCCAAGGTGGGCAGATCAGAAGGTCAAGAGATCAAGATCATCCTGGTTAAACCCTGTCTCGACTAAAAATATAAAAATTAGCTGGGCGTGGTAGCATGTGCCTGTAATCCCAGCTACTTGGGAGGCTGAGGCAGGAGAATCACTTGAACCAGGGAATCGGAGGTTGCAGTGAGCCAAGATCACACCACTGCACTCCAGCCTGGTGACAGAGTAACACTCTGTCTCAAAAAAAAAAAAAAAGAGAGGAAGCCAGAATCTGAAGCTAAGTGATACTATACTATAGCCATCCCCAACCTTTTTGGCGCCAGGGACTGGTTTCATGGGAGACAGTTTTTCCATGAACTGGAGGTATGGGGATGGTTTCAGGATGATTCAAGGGCATTACATTTATTGTGCACTTTATTTCTATTATTATTACATTGTAATATAGAATGAAATAATTATATGCAATTCACCATAATGTAGAATCAATGGGAGGCCTGAGCTTGTTTTCCTGCAACTAGATGGTCCCATTTGGAGGTAATGGGAGACAGTGACAGAGAATCAGTCATAGGATTCTCACAAGGAGCACACAACCTAGATCCCTCACATTCGAAGTTCACAGTTGGGTTTGCGCTCCTGTAAGTATTGAATGGCGCTGTTGATGTGACAGA